AGAGGAGAGGAGAGGAGAGGAGAAGAGAAGAGAAGAGAAGAGAAGAGAAGAGAAGAGAAGAGAAGAGAAGAGAAGAGAAGAGAAGAGAAGAGAATCTTCCAGACTCCTCCAGCCCCCTGCCTGCAATCATGTCACTTTGAGCCCAGGACTGATGGCTTCTCTTCACAGTACCCACTCAGCCTCACACCCCGCACTGTCCTCTCAAGTCACACTTTCATGGTGTCTTTGTTTTTCATCTGGAATATCTTTCCACATCTGGATCTGACAAAGCCACACATAAAACAAAATAAATGTCTGAAAAATAGTTTCTACAAATCACTTAATAAAGTTTTAATTAACTCTGTTTAATAACATCCAGAAGTCACCTGGGACTTTTTGAGATTTCAGAAGAGCCAAGAATAAATGGCACAAGACTTTAATTCCAGCACTCCAGAGGCAGAGGCACGTGGATCTCTGTGAGTTCGAGATCAGCACAGAGTAGACACTGTCTAAAAAAAGAAAAAGAAAGAGAGAGAGAGAGAGAGAGAGAGAGAGATCAGAAGAGAACAACAAATAAGTGAAAGATGATAAGATAAGAGACAAAGAAAGACCTTCTGGCTGATGGGATGGCTCAGCTGGCAAAGGTGCTTGTCACTAAACCTGACAATCTAATTTCTATCTCCAGGACCCATAAGATGAAAGGAGAAAACTGACTCCTGCACATTGTTCTCTGGCCTACACACACGCACATACACACACACACACACATCCCCCCCTGCACACCTCACACACATATACATACCACATAAACACACCCTACACACATAAACATATCACACAAACACACACATAAACATACCTCACAAACACACACATACCATACACATACCACACACAAATACACACATACCATACATACACCAAACATATCACATGCACATATACACACTACACAAACACACAAACACCCTCCCACATACATACCACACACACACATACACATCCTGCACATAAACACACACCACACATATATACACACCACACAAACACACCACATGCACATATACACACACACCCCACATAAACATAACACACATATGTACATACCACACATGAGAACATGTACTCTAGGGACAAAAGCAAAGTAAAGAAAAGAATGGCCAGATACAGATGGATGGCAGTTAGACTGACAGGGACTTCCTAACAGTGACAATGGAGAGGGACAGATAAGAGGTCAGGCCATCCAGGTTAAACAACAGCAAAATGTCATTACTGAGCAAATGGATGGTTTACAAACGGAAGACTCTTACCAGAGGATAAAGGACAGACTTCAAGGGAGAAGAAAACCTATTTTACAAGAAAAGCATGGGATGCAAAGACAATGACATCCAAATAAAGTGATAAATCTAAACTCAGTGTCAGCATAGAATGTGGGAACGGCACTATAGTTATGGCAAAGACACTGAGCACAAAAGAAGAGTGAGCAAGTGTGGACCAGTTGCATGATAAAGTGTTATAAAACAATCTAAGGGACTGATATCCAGTTCTAACAAACTGGATGAAAGCTAGCAGCACAACAGCAAGAATGTATCAGATCAAATAAGCATAAAGACATTGATATGCAGAGGATTTACTAATACATTTTAACCAGTCTTGTATAATAATTTTGCATGTATTAGAAAACACATTTTATTTTAAATTCAACCTATAACAAAATTGATAACCGTAGCTTACTAGTTCATATACATCAAAAATCTCAATCTAAAAAGGAGAGTTAAAGATCATGTTCGCCAACTGTTATTTAAAAACAAGAAATTGACCAAAATGTCTAACACTTGGAGACTATGTTTGGTTTAAGAATCTGGGACAAGGGACTGAGGTGCACCTTTTATTTATCAAAGCAGACCTGACTTCCAGGGTCTCCCAGCATCCCTCAGTCCTTACCTGGCATACCCTACCCCTAACCCTAAATTTTCCAACCCAGGGGCTGAGTCGCCATACCCCCACAGGCTCCTCCCTATATAATCCAGACATTTTAATCTCTTCTTTCTTTCTTTCTTTCTTTCTTTCTTTCTTTCTTTCTTTCTTTCTTTCTCTCTCTCTCTCTCTCTCTCTCTCTCTCTCT